AATGGTGTGAATTGTGCTTTGAGTGATTCTGTGTCAATGTTAATTATGACCACGCATAGTGGTCTGGATTAATTTCTACTTTTTTTTTTTGTTTCTCGCTGTTCACGACTGAAGGGAAACCTGTCCTGATTGCACTGCCATCAGTTGAACTGAACCAAACCGGAATAAGCTTAATCTGTACAACTTGTCATCCGGGCCTTCAGAAACACAGACTGCATTTTGGCCATTCATGACCCCTAAAATACATGAGACAATCTGACCTCTTGAACTCTGACCTTTGGTCTTCCCTCCTCCCCTTGTTGGCACTTACTGCAACCCTGTGCAATTGGCTGCAGTCATTTGATGTTAGTGTTCTGAACAATATGGATCCCCAGCCATCAAAAATGAGTCCCGAATCCAAGACCAGCTCCAACGTACAACATATTCTATAATAAACCTGAATAATGTAAATGATGAAGTCATAATACAGAAGAAATTCAGGAATATTAGGAGTGTTCATATATAATTTAATTAAATTGATCTTGTTTCAAGGATGTTTAGATAGAAAAACAAGACAAAAATACTGATAATTATTTTTGCAGCTTTGAAGCCAAATTGAACTTTGCTGTTAATTTATTAAAGATTACTAACAGACCAAAAAAATTGACCAAAATGCAGTATTTTGTAATGCAGCTTGCCCTTGTACGTTATGTTGAAAGGGCCTGGTGTAAGGTTCATTCTCATAATAAATGGAAAAGTGTTTATTTGCACCCAACTTTTTCTCCAGAATGATCCCAAGCTGAAAATAGGCTCTGTATGGGATGACTTGTCTTGGATTGGACTCTCTCAGGATCTCCTCCTGAGGTCATACAAGGGACGGCCTGTAAGGCTGCACTGTACATATGTCATGTAAATAGCAAAAATAAATATGAATATGACTCTATTTTATGTAAGAGCTATGAGATGGACTCTCAAGATGAATATTTGTTTTGTAAATCTAAGAAAAAAAAAACGTACGTGTACAGTTTAAAAGGCGACGTCCCAGACAGAGTCTGTGGTTTGCGATGAAAGAATTGTATAGCATATTCACTGGTTTTTGTTGTTTTGGTTTGATATAATTTCTTATCCATTACAGATGACTTGTACATATCCTCTGTTTTGGTTGCATAGTTTTTTTTGCATTGTCTGTCTGCAATGGATGAATTGTACAGCATGTAGGTGGTTTAGTTGGATTTTTAATTTGGTCAAAGTTTCTCATTTGTTTTTGGTTGATCTTTTTAAAGCGGGTATTCTCTTGTAGTTTTTTTTGGTTTTGTACAGAAGTCCGTGTTTACAGTGCGATTATCTGAAACGCAGACATGTCCAATGAAAGACACGGAGGGCGGGGCATACGATATTGCCCCGCCCCCTTTTCTTGACATGAGTCAATGATGCATCTAAAATAAAGCCTCTTGTGATGAGCACTCCAGACGTTCTGCTTCAGTAAGTGTTTGTTTGTACATGGTGCAAGAATAGTGTTTTATTTGATATTTCTTAAAACCAAAAGGCTTTCTAGCCAAAGATTTTAAAATTATGACTTTCAGACCTTATTAGTAATTGTAATCAGAGCTCTCGAGCTTCATATTACTCTCGTTTTTGGCTCAAGTCGAACAAGACCAGGGGCCAGTTGCATAAACATAGTCATTATGTTAAAATGTCTTAAGAACTAGCAGTTAGCCAAGAGGTAATCAATGTTACTTTTCTGATTCAAATTGGGACAGTCTACCTTTTTGTAACTGAATTCGAAAAGTTATGAAACAGTTTTGAAGAAAACTAGATGACTAACTTTTTAAGTCTAAGCAGTTTATGCAACCGGCCCCAGTTCTGTCATTTAGCCTACATGTGACTTGCTCTGACTATCATTTGAATCTGCTTGCAGTCAGATTAGTCGAATTTACAATGGAACCACTCAAATCGGTTATTTGAAAAGAATCGACTCAAAGGAATGATTCAATCACAATTCCGATAACGCGCTATACCGCAATAAAATAACAAGGAAGGCCATCTTTTTCTTAAAATGTAGTGGAGTAGCTTGGATCCATTTAACAAATAATAACAAGAAAAAAAAAATGGAATAGCAGAAATAATTACATTCCAAACATACTGATATCACAGAAGCAATACATTATTTTTCGGCATAGTTTTTGTGCTGTTGACAAATTAAAATGTTTGTGATGTACAGAAAAATAATGACTCTGTGGTCTCCTGTATGTTTATATGAATTAATCATTTTTCAACATATTACTATCGCTATTCAACTTACAAAACATGATACCCTGTTGAAAAAACAGCATATGCTGGTTAGGCATGTTTTGACGCTGGGATGCTGGTTTAAGCTGGTCCTTTGCTGGTTTAAGCTGGTCCTTTGCTGGTTTATGCTGGTCCTTTGCTGGTATAAGCTGGTCCTTTGCTGGTTTAAGATGGTCCTATTCTGGTTTATGCTGGTCCTTTGCTGGTATAAGCTGGTCCTTTGCTGGTTTAAGATGGTCCTATTCTGGTTTATGCTGGTCCTTTGCTGGATTAAGCTGGTCCTTTGCTGGTTTAAGCTGGTCCTTTGTTGGTTCATGCTGGTCCTTTGCTGGTTTAAACTGGTCCTTTGCTGGTTTATGCTGGTCCTTTACTGGTATAAGCTGGTCCTTTGCTGGTCCTTTGCTGGTTTAAGATGGTCCTATTCTGGTTTAAGCTGGTTCTTTGCTGGTTTATGCTGGTCCTTTTGCTGGTTTATGCTGGTCCTTTGCCGGTTTATGCTGGTCCTTTGCCAGCACATGACTAGCAAAAGGACCAGCATAAACCAGCAAAGGACCAGCTTAAACCAGCAAAGGACCAGCATAAACCAGCATCCCAGCGTCAAAACATACCTAACCAGCATATGCTGTTTTTTTCAACAGGGTAGCAACTCACCTTCTCATCGATCGCACGTTGCCTTTCAAAACAGACAATTTCAAACTGTTGCTCAGAACATTTCTGCATTTATTATGACAGTACTTATGCAATTATCACTCATGATGACGCTTATTTCAAATGGAGAACATCTTCCTCTGGTTCATGTAGCGATTTACATGGCAGGGGTAAAAAAAGAGGAACTAAACAGAGGAAATGGAGTTGAGTTCGTAAAACAACTATAAAATCGGCGTTCCTGCTTTATGTTAGGTGTCAGACAAATGTGACAGTGTCATAATTATAGCAATTACAATCAAATTACAAATTGTGGCGTTTGTAGACACTTTTTTTCCCCTCCAATATAGTTCCAAGCAAGTTGCTGCTTGTTTAACGACACTGCAACATAACATCTTTAAACATGTTATCTGTACTCATCTTATTATTAGACTGAAGTACACTGTAGGACACCAAAAATAAAGAGGAACAACTATTACACCAGCAAGTGAGGAGAGAAACAGAGCTCTTTCCTGTACATGGAAGCAAATTCATTTCATTAGAGGCAGCAGCTAAGCTAAGCTAAAATGTGAAAAATTAAAAGTGTTTATAAGATTCAAAGTGTCCTTTACCTCCATAACTCAGTTTGCTCGTTTCTATAGTGTGACGCTCTGGGATAAGAAATGTTTTAACTGTGCCACTGTCTGGACATCCATACACATGGTCGTCGTGTACTAGACAGCACATTACAATATTACATTTCAGCAAACAGAGGCTCACAGTAAACAGAACTATACACAGCAAATAAGACCGTTTTATTCGGATATCTTTGCTAAGGTCCTTGTCAAGCCAGTGGGCTTTCTTACTGATGGAAAATCAAGGTTTCCTTGACATTGTGCAAATAAAAGAAAGAAAAAAAAAAGCCCTCAAAATGGCTCTATTATATACATTTACTGCTGCATTAATCATTGTGGAATTATTTCAATTTCTCAAACACCATTCTGCACTTGGTTGCTAGATAACAGGTGTCTAGTTAGGGTTAAAGAGTCAACGAATTAAAGAGCTGTATAACTGAGAAAATAGTCCCATAATTCTGATTTCCAGTCAGTGCTTGTTCTCGCTTGCTTGAAAAATGATTTTAGGTGACTATGACAAGGAAAGTCAGACATAAGCTCAGTCTAATTGTGGTTTAGGATGATTGAAATTCATATAGGTTAGCAGAATAGCAGTGACTAAGATTCCTATTCTATGATGTTCCTACCAATTGTTTCACAAAACTCTGCAGCATCGTTTGTATTCTCAGTGTTACCCTGTTGCTTGATCAACATGATGCTTGATCAACCAATGTCAAACAGAAAATTACTTGTAACATAAAAAAAAAAAAAAAAAATTCATGAAAATGAACAGTCACATAAAATGAGAACAGTTCGTAAAAAGCTGAACAACAAATACTTTCAGGAGGGAAATGGGAAGAACTACAATACTCTTTAAGGTTTTCAATACTAAGCTGGGAATAACAGTTTTTTGGCATTTGAAAAACCAACTCGATTCTCTTTCATTAATATTGTTGACGTGAGAAGCCCAACAGTAAAAATAGGACACAATTGAACTAAAGAAAATAATCTGCACTCCACAGATTGGGGACCATTCACACAGAAGGTGTTCTTCCGTTGCAGTTCAACTAATAAAGAAGAAAAGAACGCAGGGTTGACACTTGACAGTGTCTTACAAACGCGAAGCTCATACGTTTTGCGAGAAAAATAACAAAAAAGCAATGCAGTAGAATGCAAAACGCATTCTGTGTGAACCAACCCTTACATTTATGTGGGGGTGGTTTCATCCAAAACGCATTTTCTTTTTCACTGCTCTACTTTTCAGTTGTTTTTCTATGTAAATACGTGCTAGATGGACGTGGTTGACCTTTGCGCTGGCGTCTTGTGGCTTTTGAAGCATCTTGCACATGTAGCTGCGTTTTGCTCCAATTACAAATAAGTAAAAAAAAAAAAAAAAAAAGTGTCTTTTTTTTATTGGACGTGTCTCAAAACTTTTTTTTGTGGAATGGGGAAAAAACGTTGGTTCTGTGTGAATGGCCCCCAAGAGTGGTTTTATGGAAACTTGACACCTAATTTCTGCTCGTGTCCTACGAATGAGGCTCAGTATCTCTAACATGCTAACTTAAAAACTCTCAAATTCCTTCAATTGCCGTGTCAAAATTCCAGTTTTCCCAGGACTACAAACACATTTAAGACAAAATAACAAAGACAAAAGTGGCTTATAACACCACAATCCAACTAAAAGGAGATTCCACATCATAGTATATGGAACGATAATACTGAATCAATCCACGTCCATCAGGAGAGAGGAGGAATGGCAGCCAACAGAGGCATACAACTTTAGGATTCTCCTGGACTCTATAGTGCAATCTGAGTGCACTTACATCGGAGTAAACACACGACGAGTCTGCTTAAACAGAGAGGGCTGGTGAAAGGTTTTGGGTAGCAATAAAACAAGGCCATATTTCTGATTGATGCAGAAGTCTAACTCTGTTACGTAAGAGAGTCAGACGACATTGCAGGGTTGACCGAGGCACACAGCGCAGTGCAATGAGCACTGCACCAACAAGCACTGAAGTTAAAGCACAGAGTGATGTTTCTCCTGTGAAGAAATCATCACCCATAAGCCCCTACTCATTCTACACTTCCATTAACATGTCTTTTACACAGAAAGCAAACATGAGAAGCCCCTGAATGCTAACTGTAAATGTTTTCACACCATGTTTTCCAATTTTGTCCTAAAAAGAAAAAAACTTGATACCATCTCTTTTGCAATGCAAAAATGGACCATTTTCACTGTATTATTTGCCTAGATGTGAAAAGTAAAGCCCTTACCCCTTCTCCTCCCCCCCAGAACATTGCTTAAGCGATTTTAATATTTAAATATATGCCAGAATATATACAAACAGTCCTCTTGTCAGTCACTGCTATACAGGCCGCCTCTCGCTCTGATCCTACACTGTGGGCATGCCGTCTTTGTCCAGCAACCGTTTCATTCTTCTCCTGCAAGCAAGTGAGTGAACATTTATTAACGAAGAGGTTCTACATTCCTGCCGAGAGCAGAGAGGCTCATAATACCTTTAAGGGCGTTTAAAAAGAAATGGAGAAGATGACTAAATGACTATAAAAAGGGCCTCCTGATGGCTTGACGTCCCTCAGGCGTCTGGTACAGTGTTTGTTTTGGTCCCCTCTTGGTCCCCGGTAACATCCCCTCAGCATGTTTCCTGTAGTTCACCAGGCTCTTCAGGTCATGGAGGGAAAATGTGGTCGGAGGGTAGAGTGGACGGAGTTCAAGGCGTTTCTGTCGTTCTCTCCGTCTTTTCCACAGTGGAAGGTTTACGACGGCTCCAAGCTCTTCAGGGCACCAACCTTTGACTCCAAGTCTGTAATCTGAGATGGAAAAAGATGGAAATTCAGGTCAGGTACACTTATTGTCACCATTTTTATGTATGTGGCAAATGCTTTTATCTTTAAATGCATACATTACTGTTCAAAAGTTTGGGGTTGTTAATATTTTTGAAAATGTCTCTTACTGTATGCTCACCAAGGCTCCATTTATTTGATCACAAATACAGTAAAACAGCAATATCGTAAAATATTATTACAATTAAAAATAATCGTTTTCTATGTGAATATTTTTAAAAATGTAATTTATTCCTGTGATGCAAAGCTGAATTTTCAGCATCATATTCCAGTCTTCAGTGCCACATGATTCTTCAGAAATCATTCTAATATGCTGATTTACTGCTCAAGAAACATGTGTTATAATTTTTTTCAGGATTCTTTAATAAATTAAATCTTCTGTACCATTATGAAAGTTTTTACTGTCAATTTTGATAATTTTTTTGTGTTATTGCCTCCTTATGATAAATTGCTTGTATTCCTTATTTTTTAGTCACTTTGGATAAAATCGTCTGCTAAATGAATAAATGTGAATTATAATTTAATGCATTATTGCTAAATTAATTTCTTTTTCTAAAAAAAAAATAAAAAAAAAAATAAAAAATAAATAAATAAATAAATACTGACCCCAAATTTTGAACAATATAATAAATGTAAACCCTTAGGGCAGGTTCACAGTTTTTCCTTTCCCCTCCGTTATTTTTCCATTGTTTTCTTTGTAAATAGACAAACATTTTTTGACTGCTGTGCTCACATCACACATCTTTTGCAGCATCTCATGCACGACACGCCTCTCTAAAAATGCAGCGTTCAACTAAAATAGGATTAATAATAGTGATGTTTGCTTCAAGTTCAAGTTTATTTCTAAAGAACAATTTAAAACAACTAAGAGTTGACGAAAGTGCTGTACAGTGCTGAAAATTATAACATCATGTAAACAAACAAAACAAAAACACAGTAAAGGAGATTACATGAAACTCTACAATACAATAAAAGCCAAGAAAAACTAACTTTAAAATCAGAAAGTGTTTGAGCACTTGAGGCTCCTCCACAGTTTTGGTACAACTACTGAAAAAGCCGGATAATTTCTCAGTTTTATTCTTGCTCTAGGACCAGTCCACCACCTCTGATCTGAAGATCTGAGGGATCTTGATGGATTATGCATAGACAGAAGGCTCGATTTGTAAGTAGGTGACTGTCTGTTTAAAGATTTAAAGACAAATAAAAGAATCTCAAAATCAATAGAGTAGGCACCAATAATAAATGTCATATAAAACTAGTATTTGCAATCACCCAGTGTGTGAGTGTATAAGAATAAATGGTTTCTGATTTCCAAACGCACCTTCTCCTGGAGGTTTTCTGTCTCCACCTTGTGGGTGGCCTCTGACTCCTCTTGTGCTCTGCGCTGGGCCGTCTCCTTCTTCAAATACTCAATCTCTCTGCATTAAGACGCACACATATGCACACAATACAGTTAAACCCTTTCACTAGGTCACATGAAGGAGTTTTGTCTAATTCTTTCAATCACAAACCCCTCGAACATGCTTATTTTGTTTTGTGATCCTGATTAAAGTCATTATATTGAGTCTGACTCGCTATTATCCCCAATTCATTGCACTCACTTCTGCTGGTACTCTTTGATGAGGCGTTTGGCTTTGCTGTACTTGCGCTCCAGCGTTTGGTACTGTGTCTGTGTCTCTTTCAGGTGCTCGTCCACCGCCTGGCACAAGCTCTGAGCCTCCATCCAATAGCCCTCCAACTTCTCCACCCGCTCCTTATTCTCTCTCACCGTCTGCTCCAACTGAGCCCTCTCCATCCGCCAGCGCAGCTTATCCTGCTCAGCGTGAGCCAGCTAGAGAGAGACGGAGAGATCATCACAAGGGTAAATAAAGGTTGTTTAAAGATCTCTTACAAATGTTTATACAAATCAAAAGCAAGCAAATAAAATGACATGTACAAGTGGTGTCTCTGACGGACAGTCATACCTTCCTCTTGAGCTGCTGGATCTCAGCCTGGGTCACAGCATGTTTTATCTGGAGCTGGAGACAGAGATGGGTGTACAGAGATGCACATTTTTTTTGATTATTGAGTTCATACAGATATCAACAAACCAAATCAAATGAAATGTAAATTATATTGTAATTTATTTTGGGGCGCATAATGATATAAACAATTATCATTATTTTTTTTTACAGTGTGTACATTGCTTATTGATTGTAAAAAAAAATAAAATTGCTGATATAGACCAACATTTCCATAATGGAGCTTTAGTGCGAAATAAGTAAGTAATTAAGTAAATAAATAAATACAAACTCTAGATTCATATTGTTAGCTATTGATCATAATATAAATAAAATTAGAATTAAAATAAAATAAAAATCAGCTGCATCTGTTTAATATTAAGTCAATTCCCAGTTAATTTCAAAAGGCAATTATGAAACTAAAAAATGGCAGCGTGGATAGGTTTGCACATTTTTTTTCTGGTCATGCGTTTATGAGTGGTCAGCTTTAGAAGTTTTCTTGTGTCCCACTGACCTCCTTAAACTTGTGTGCAAGTTTCTCTGGGTCCATCTCCACAGGAGAGAGCATGTCTTCATTCTCTGCCAGGTCAAACACCTCGATGGCATTAGGAAACATGGGGCTCATCTCTCCTTCTTCATCGGTGGCATATTCACCCGTCTGAACATGAACAAGAAATCGAGAAAGAAAGAGAGATGGATATTGAGACACATGCTGCTTTTCAGTGCAGCTGAGATTTGTTTATCTGACCTTAAACAATTTATGGATTTTGAAGCTAAAGAAGTTTCTGTATCAGGTATTTGATAAGGATTCTTGACTCGGACATGTGTTGGTTTCTGATCAGTGTGTTGGTAACATTAACCACTAGATGTCAGAGTTTAGCTAGGCAGAAACCAACTGGATCAAGGGGAAAACACATGGCAGGACATTGTAAAAAAAAAAAAACACTGTGACTGGCCAACCACCATTTTGAATTGACTGTGCAGCTGCAGGAAGATGAAGTAAAGGCAAGTAGAAGCAAACTGACAGAACTGCAACCACATGATACATTGATGTGCCACATTTGAAATGATTTGGGAACTGTTGAGAAAATCTTGGACCATAAACAAACATACAAAGTCTCTTGAGAATTTCTGAGGATCACAGCCATGAAAGCATGTCCCAACACATCTGAAATAAAGCATCCAACATGTTCTCCACATCCTAAAACTGCAATTACCCTGACCTCAAAAGGCCGTCGTACACCCAACACTCCCTAAGAGCCGCTGCAAATACACCACTATCACAAACATCCTTTTAACAAAGGACTTCCCCTGCAAGTTGGGACATGAGCAAGCAAACTCCCGCACAATGACTTCCTGTCTGGATGAGTGAACGCAGTGCAAACTCTCATCAGGCAAACAGCCACAGTTAATGACACACATGACAGAATCACTTGGTGAACATCTTGATTCCTCCGAAGAAACGTCTTCTTGTTAATAATGAATTTTGCAATTGGTCAGTTTTGTATGCTAGTATCAGTTCAGCCTCGAGTGATACAATTATTTCCAAGAAAAGAGTGAAAATCAAATTACTACAGTATATACAGTTGAGTATATATATACAGTGGGTACGGAAAGTATTCAGACCCCCTT